GCCGAGTGGATTCTGGAGGAATGGGGTCACTAGGGGTATGGAGATTATAGCTGTTGGGCTCCATTTTTGTGGGAGGAGTTGGGAGAATGAGCGTGATGGGGATATGGCGAGTGATGAGCTATGACGAGTTTTTATGACTGTAGGGGAGGGGCGTCAGATGTGACGTCTGGTGTCTGCCCGCAGTTCCTTGCTGGGTTTTCCGCGGACTTTTCGTCCTCACCTTTCCACTTCCCCTTGACTTGGGAGCGGGGGGTGTATCGATGGAAAGCTTTCTGAGTATAAGTGTATGGCATCGCGTGGTAAGTTGGGGTGGGTTTGGTTTGTTGAATAGATACGTGAACACGGTATCGACGAATAGGCGGGGCTAGAATTTTTTTTTTTTCGGAATAAAAGCCATACGGTTAATACTTGAAACCCTTCAGTAGGCTTTAGAAATAGGGAATAAAATGCTCATAAATTGAAAACCCCCAAAGAAAACAACCAGGACAAACTCCAGGCCGGGTAGAAGAAAAGTGAAGCGAAGCAATCCAAAGTATGTTCGCTGAGGTGTATAAATCGAACCGTCGGGTTATGATCTCCCATGTTATCTATCTGTGCCGGAAACTCGTTCCTATTACCCAATACGCCTTCTAAGAGATTCCCCTAGGATTCCGGACCAACTCCCTGAAAACACCTCATGACTCACAACCAACAAGCGAAACCGCAATACGCGGAGCTAAATGCCGGGACCTCCACTCCAGTCATACCAATATCCCGCAAGCGAAAAAAATAATAAAAAAAATACGAGAAGATCGAGGGTTGGCACAATGCCGGTGGGAAGACACCCACTCTTCTTCTTTCTCAGAGAGAACCGCGTACTTGGGGCTATTTATTATACCCTCCCAGTAACGCAAGCGGTCGTTCCAAGGCGGCGGAACCAATCCCCGAGAAGTAACCCGAAGAGGAAAGTGTTATTGTAATCTCTGAAGATCTTGAAAACATGAGCAGAGCTGGAAAGAAACGTCCCATCATTTCTTAGAAGAATGTAATCATTTATTGGCATCATGAGAGGGAAGAATACCGTTCTTCAGGCAAAGAAGCTTTGCCCATAAAGACGTTCCCGAGCCCCAAAGAGCCAATGGCGTATCATGAAAACCGACGCGGACTCCAGGCTTTTCACCAGATTAGGCCAAAGCGTGGCCCGGTAAGTGGCTAAGGCTGGAGGAACCTCCCCCCCCCCCCGCTTCTCCCAATTTTGCAAAAATAGTCAGAAATCATACTGGTACTATCCTCCAACTATTTTGTTATTGGGTAATGGATATATGGGTGGATGGACTTATCGTAGCTTGGGTTTATTTAAAAAGAGCTCGTATTACAGGGCTTGTTGGACGAGGGGTTCACACCTGAGAGTGTTTTTCGTTGGGGGGCAGGTTCACTCTCCACGATTTCCCACCCACTTAGAGCATGCCGTTCATGCCCTGTTTCGATTCTGAGCGCGGTTCGGACTCAGTCCAAATCCCGCACCGGTGTACCCACACTTTTCCCACCCCCTTGATAGAAGGAGCGCTAGGAGATTCTTCAAGTGTATGGAATGAGAGCGGCGATTTGGCCATGGTATAGCCAATGCCTCCTCAGGTGGCCCAATTTTGTAGAAATAGCGGTAACACTCTCTCACGGTCAAGTAACCCGCATTCCGGTTATTATTCCCAAAACTCCGAGTACCGGTAGTTGTTAAAGTAC